GGTCCGAGGTCAACTGGTCGACCGAATGGTCGGGGGATCTGTGCGCTATGTGTTGGAGCTGTGCACCCTTTTCAACGCTGTTTACGCACTCGCAATCGGGCGGAAGAGCGCCGGACACGTAAAACTGGTAGCCGCATATCGTTTCAGGATACAAATCCACAGTCCCAACATAAGTCAAGTTCTGGAGCCCGAATTTTGCAGCCTGCGCATCAGGTTCCACCAGCCTTCTTACAACATGGCGTGAATGCGCTGTCGCCAAGTATCGCGCCTGCATGTTCCAAGGGTTGTAACATCCATAATCAAACATATATGGTTTAGCTTTGTTGTGCAAATCAGCCTCGGTAGATGTCTTCAGCCACTCGCTCAGACCAACCAATGGATGCTCCAAATCATCGTAACCAGGGAAACCATTCGCGATTGTAAGGTTCTTGAATTCTGTATATTTGCAATGCAAGAACTGGGACAACACGTGCTTCAAAGGATTCCGTAACAACGTCACACTGCACGCGCTCCGATTGAGTGCCCGCCGGCTGGTCTCTTGGACCCACAGCGCAAGTTCGGTGCCGTTGAACAGGAGGTCCTTCGGCAGGAGTTTCTTCTGGTCATGAATGAAGGAGCTGCCGCCACTCTTCGGTATGTGGACCAGGTGAACGTACTTGAAGCGCCTCTGCTGCGCCACGGGGTCTCCAGACGCCGCCGCCAACGCGCCGCTGTCGGCTGCCTCACCGCTCCGCGGACCGCCGCCTAGCTGCCCCTCTGGTGCGCGGCCGCCGCCGTCCGAGCCGCTTCTGGGCACGGCGGCCAGCTCCTCTGGTCCCGAAGTACTGGTCTCGTGCGGCCCCAGGGGCGCGCGGCTGCCGCTGTCCGAGCCGCCTGTGGGCACGGCGGCCGCCTCCTCTGGTCCCGAAGCACTGGTCTCGTGCGGCCTCTCTGGCGCGCGGCTGCCGCCGTCCGAGCCGCCTGTGGGCACGGCGGCCGCGCGGAGAGCAGCAACGCGATGGCCTCCAGCTGGCCAGGGGCTGCCCCACCCGAGCGCCCCGAGGGCCACGAGCACGGCAGGGGGCAGGAGGACCAGGCGGCACGCGGAGGCGCACGCCGCGGAGGGCACCGGCGCGCCTCCACGACGAGGCCGGGGCAGCAGCCTCGGCGGGGGGGCGGGCGTGCACCCTCCGCCGCGGGCGCCCGGCCACGAGTTTGCTGCGGGGCCGCCCGGCCCTGCGATCGAGGCCTCCGTCGCCGGTGCGGCGCGCGAGCCCTCGCTGCCGGCTGCCGGCCATGGGCGCGTTTCTCGAGATTGTTTTTTTATTGGATTCCTGGTATCGGCTGTGATCGGGGGGGGGGGGGGCGCGGGGGGCGCGCGAGGGGTTCGAGCCTCCAGGATGGCCCTGGATGGATCCAAGGAGGGCCCAGATGCTGCAAGATACCCCTCAGGATGGCGCAATGTGCTTCAAGATGCTCCGACATGCCTCCAAGATGCCCCGAGACAGCCCCAGCACGGTTCTAATTTCCCTTCGATCCTTCCAAGGCAACTCCCCAAGACTTCCTCCCCGCGCGTCCCCATGGCATCCGAATTCCCTCCCCTTGGGCCAACGAGCGGGGCGCTAGAGTGGTAAGGGCGGGGGGGCATAAAGGGCGATTCCGGAAACCCTGAACCCCAAAACGTTTTGCACTCCACTCCTTGGGGGCGCATCTTTTACTTCCGCCGCCTTCCGCCAAGCTTCCTCGGGCTTCCGCCGGCGGAGGCGGCCTCGTTTTACTTCCGCCGACCTTCCGCCGCCTTCTGCGGCGGAAGAGATGACAACTCCTTCTATCCTCGAAGGCAAGGCCCTTTCTGGAAAACCTTATATGCGCATGCCGAGGTGGGTAATATCTGGGCCAACCTCGCTTATGAGCAGATTGCAAGCGCCATTGTACGCTCAAGCGTGATGGATGAATCAACTACACTCCCCCTCATTCTTCCGGACCTTCCGCCCTAACCTTCCGCCCTTTATTCGATATGATATATGTGGGTTTCCTTGAGTCACGCTCCAATGAATGTCGACGAACTCTTCCGCACCTTCCGCGGGGTCAGAAGGTGCGGGAGATGGAGGTGGAGGATAAGGGGACGGGGCCCACTTAGCCCGAATCTCTATCTCTCCCACATCATTTTGTGCACACGTGGCCCACTGGCAAGCTAGTTTAGGCCAAACCTGCACTCCCTGGCATACACTGATCAGCATCCCCCCTCTCCCTTGAACACCCCCCGCGCTGATCCAAACAGTGGTGACCCTCCTCCCTGAGACACGACGTTGCGAAACAAAAGCAGCACAACGCGAATCATCACGCCTGGAACCCTGGACCACATCTTTCTGCATCAGATCCCGAGCCAGACCGATCTGCGATGGTCTCGGGGCCCGAAACCGACAAACACGTTTGTTGGGAAAACATTGCAACGTCAAGGTTTGAGGGCTTGGCACTGCCCGACATGGAGAAGCTGTGCGGGCCGGACATCGCCGCCTCCGCGGTCGCGGACCCGAAGAGGAGGAGGAGGAGGAGGAGGAGGAGGAGGAGGAGGAGGAGGAGGAGGAGGAGGAGGCGGAGAAGGAGGCGGAGAAGGAGGAGGAGTAAAAGGGGGAGGAGGGGAGGAGGGGAGGAAGAGGAGGCGGAGGAGGAGGAGGAGGAGAGGAGGAGGAGCAGGGGGAGGAGCAGAGAGGGGCAGGGGAGGAGAGGAGGAGGAGGAGGAGGAGGAGAGGAGGAGGAGGAGGAGGAGGAGGAGGAGGAGGAGAAGGAGGAGGAGGAGGAGGAGGAGAAGGAGGAGGAGGAGGAGGAGGAGGAAGAGAGGAGGAGGAGGAGGAACGGGAGGAGGAGGAGGAGGAGGATGAGGAGGAGGAGCAGGAGCAGGAGGAGGAGCAGGATAAGCAGGGTGAGGAGCAGGGCGAGGATAACCGAGGATAACCCACTGGGGACCAGTGTCCCGTCCTTACTGCGGGCGGGCGCAAGAGGGCACGGGCCTCCGCGCCACGCCAAATAGTGCTTGCACTGCGCCCCACGGCGCGACCAGGACCCGCCCCCAGGAGAAGCGCAGTAATCTTCGCACCGCGCACAACCCCCGAGGGCAAAGGGGTCCACAAGGCTACGACTACCCGCGGACCTCGCACCCGTGCTGGCCGCAGAGCTCACAGGTTGTCCCCCCATGCCTGGAGCTTCTCCTCAAACTCCTCGCGCGAGAGGCACTCCTTGACCAACTCGTCGATCTTCGCCGACTTGAGCTGGTACTTCCAATCGAGGTAGTCGCAGGCTGGGGCGTCCCTGATGTCCTTCTGGATCAGCTCCCCGTACTGCTTGGCCACTGGCTTCATCGAGAACTTCTCCTCTGGGCCCGCCACCTCCTGCTCCGACGAGCTTACTGTCTCCGACATGTCGTCCGAGTCCCTTACCTTCAGCACTCGCTTGGCCTCGACGTCTGGGGCGAGCTTGATGTCCACCTGGATCAGCCCCCTGTTCAGCTTCGCTGGCTTCGCCGAGAACTTCTCCTCAGGGCCCGTCGCTGTCGCCTCCGACACGCTCGCCAGATCCGTGATGTCGTCCACCGTCTCCGACAGGTCTGCTTCCTCTGGCTGCGGTCCCCACCCCTCCCCGCCGGCGCCGCCCTTGACTTCCCCCTCGCTGGGGGGGGGCGGGGCCCGCCTCGGCGCCCTTGTGGCACCCCGACCCGTCCATCTTCTTCAGCTCATCCTTGCCGACAGCCGCCGCCAACTGCCCGACCTCCACGATCAGCTGCAGCGCGAGCGGGTGCGACTGGGTGTTGCGGAGCTTGCTGAGCTTGCCCAGCCGAGCGGCGGCATTGCTGCCCCGCTCCCCGTGGGCCCGCAGCCACCGCTTCGCGTCCGTGACGTTCAGCTCGCCTGCGTGCCCCGACACGGCCTTGACCTTCGCCAGCACGACGTCCATGTCGCCGACGGGGTCTTGGTCGTCGCCAACTGCGCCAGCACACGGCCTGCTGCCCGCGGCCGCCCCTTGGGCTGCCCCGCGCGCCGCCGCCGCAACCAGCGCCGTCGTGGCTTTTGGGCCCAAGGCAGGGCCTGCTGCCGCCAAGAACGCCCCGAACGCCGCCTGGGCGTAGGGCAGATCCGCAAGATAGCTCATCCGCACGTCCACTGCTCCAACGCCGCGGGACGCCATGGAAATCGAGCAATTCGGTATCAGAACTCACAGCAAGTGAGGCGCCGCAGTCAAGAGGGCACGCGCCCATCTTGAGCCAAAAATGGCCACGGAGGAGCAGGGCGAGGAGGAGGAGGAGGAGGAGGAGGGATACGAGAATATCAGATATGGATGTGTGGGGCAAGATGCACAATAAGCACAATGAGAAGAAGAATGAAGGACGATCTTTCTCTCACGCGCAGACTGCGCTCCACGCGCTCTCGTTCCGGAGGGGCGGGCCAGGGTTGCAAGGTAAGCGCCCGCTTTGCTATGGCCATTCCCCAGACCGCCGACGGCGGCCCCTCCGGCAGCTCGGGACGCAGCGGGGGAAGAGAATCTGTCAGATCAGACGGCACGGGAACGAATCTGCTGAACACCCTCGTGCCGACTTCAAGCGAGACGCTGCTTCTTTTTCCCCCTTCCCCCGGCAGATCTCGCCGGGGAGGGACAGGAGGGACGACGGGGCGTGGGGAGGCAGGAGGAGGCCCCGATAATAATGGTACATCTCGCCGTCGGCTTCGGTGGACTCCCCGGGGTGCGCCACTTCCCAGCGAGTCCAATTCAGCCGTCACTTCAATGATAAGCCCTGGAGGTCCTGTGAAAGGAGAGGGACGGGGAGAGGAGGTGCAAAAATGTGGCACCAAATCTATCGGAACAATTGCAACAAGACCGTCGTCCGACGACTGTAAAACCACACCCTGCGACACGCCGGCGCCCACCCACTAATGTGCGACACGCCGAGGGGAGAGGGGAGAGGGGAAGAGGGAGGGGGGCAGTGGACTACGTGCTGGAAATGGGTGGACTCAAAATGCTCATCGTGATTACCTCTCCCAGGACTCCCCTTCGAAGACAAGACGCCTCCGCACAGTGCTGCCTGTGTCGGCGTCCCGGCCGAGCAGCCTTCGCACCCTGACAGGGCTATCCCGCATTACCTCACGTGCATGCAAGATGGCAGGCTGATTTTGCATATCGTCTACTGCGCGCCTCGCCCACGCCTGCACGGGAGCTGCGATCGCGCGGGGGCGCCACAGGGCCACCGCGACCACTGTCAGCATCTGTGTGGGGCCTGACATGATAGGGACTTGGAAGACGTTCTCGAGCCATTGTGAAAAACCTCTCTCATCCCATGCCAGAAGTTTCACAGCTTCCGCGTGCCGGTACACCCGGCATAACGGCGACGCGTACCACGAACGACACACATCATCGTTGCTGCAAGTGTCGCTGCTGCCGCGCATCTGCGCCCGCGCCACTGCCAGCCCAATGGCGATGCCCACGAGCAGGGCGTGCACCAAGGGGAGCGGCACCCGTCTCTGCATCGCCGCCTGCGGCTGGGGGGGCGGCGCCGGCGGCGCTGCCAGCTGCTGGGGCGGCGGCGGCGGCGATGTCGCGAGCTCAGGGCCTCACCCGGCGACGCGCGCCAGCAAGGTCTCCATGATCCCTTCCACGACCTGCTCCCTAGCGCGCGGTGCCGGTCCGTCGGGCCGGAGCTGCGCGTACAGCGGCTTGATGTCTGCAACCGGGTGTGCGGAGAGCTGCTGCTTCACCTCCGCCCAGGTCGCGGCTCCTGGCGCCACCAAACTCCGGCACTCCCCGTTCAAGAGCACGCGCGCCTCAGCAACCACGAGTTTCGCCGTCTTGGGTGTGAACTTCTCCGGCTGCCGCTCCCTCGGAGGAGGCGTGCGCGGCGCGCCCCTTGTGCCCCCGGACCCCGGCACGCCCTGGGAGGCGATGGCGTCCTGCACCTCCTGCCGGATCCGCAGCACTTCGGCCTGCCTGCGAAACTCCTGCAGCTCTGCCATGTCTCCGGCCGGCAGGCCGGCAGCGTCCTCTCTCTTGCCTTTCTTGTCTTTACGACGGTCCCTGCTCCTGTCCCTTCTCTTGTCTTTCTTTCTCTTTTTCTTTTTGTCCCGGCCCGACGACGACGACGAGCTCGACGTGGAAGAGGAACTGTCGCGAGTGTGCTTCCTGCCTTTCTTTTTCTTCTTATCCTTCTTATGTTTTCCGTCCCCCCTGTGGTCGTCCCGAGCTTCCAAGTGCAACAGCTCGAGCCTCTCGAGCCTGTCCAGGCGCCGGTCCGTGTCGTGACTCTGGCGCCAGTCGGCCCTGCCGTGCCCGCGGCTGTCCTGGCCGCCGCCGCCGTAGCGCGGCTGCCAGCTGCCGGACCACTGCTCGCCTCGCACCGCGCCTGCGGCGCGCCAGCAGAGGGCCGCCACCACGACAGGGAGGCGGAACATGGATTGCACGCCGCGGCGCGGCAGCGGGTCACGAAACATGGAATGTGGAACGCAGCGGCGCTCAGCGCCCGCCGGCTTGGGCCCACGCCGCCTGAACTGCACGGCTGAGCATCCGGCGACGATCTGGGTGCACGGCCGGCAAAGCTCTGAACGCTACCCCCCTGGCCCGTTTGCGTACCCAGCCGGAGTCGCGAAATCCGACGAGGACGGAAATCAGCGCCTCACACCACATGCCGTCATCCAGCGGGACCTCGGCCCACCTGCTGAAACGACCCCGGAGCAGACTAGCGGCGGCGCGGTCGCACAGAGCCCACGGCGGTGAGATCCGCCAGGCTTTTTCCTTCATGCGCCACGTGTGCCGCAGCGTGTCAAATCTGACGTCCAACCATTGAACCACGCTTGACTGCTGTTCAACATCAAACTTCACGCTGTACGTTCTTTCTACTGCCGCGCACAGGCAAGCGTGGCAGTGCACCCCAGACGCCCAAAATATGTCATCAACGTACCTGCCTCGCGCAACCTCCTGGTTCCAGCAAGGTGAAGTTGCCGCGAACCCAAGGGACGCACGGCGCTGCGGCGAGAGTTCCCACGCTTCTTCTTCCAACCCCAAGACACAGCTGGATGCGATCTTGGATAGCACTCCGCCGATGGGTAGCCCGCGGAGGCTAAAAACCATGTCGCCCAGCGAGCAGAAGGTGGTAAGCATGCGCGCCCCGAACGCGAGAAACAAGTCTGCCATGGCGAAGCAACGCGACCCGGCCACCGCGGCTGCGGGAGAACCGCCGATGAAAGCAGCACGGCGCCTCCCAAACTTCACAGTGACCGAATCCTTGCCCGTAGCCTCGACGCACCGGCGCATGACAACCTGCGCTGCCGCCATGGCCTGGGCAGGTGTTACAGCTTCGAAGAACTGGCCCGCGTCGGCGACGAGCCCAACTGACGTTGGCTTGGGGCATCCGCACCGAGCGCAGCTCGCAAGGCCCGACTGCACGCGGGCCGCGCGCATGCGGGCTTCCATGGTGGGACAAGCCGCTTTCAGTGACCACACTTCGTCTCCCCCCCCGTGCGCCTGCACGACAGCTTGCAGGGCACGGTGGATGGACCGCCACCGTTTGCGCCCTGGCCACGACGCGCACGAAACGACCTTCCGGACGCAACTGTGCAAGGGCTTCGAGCACACTTTCCTCCCAGCGCTGAAGCACTTACTCTTAATCGTGGCATAATAATAGGGTAGCACGTGCCGGTATCTAGCGAAGCCCAAGAAACGCTGCAGCGCCGGAGACAGGAGAGAATTGAGCACATGCCAACACCTCGTGTTTGCCTGATCCACCGTCATGGACGTGAGGACCCACGACGGCGCCATCATGGCATACTGCACGAGCAGCCAGAGGTAACAGCCCACAGGCATGCGCCACATGAACTTCTTCTCTTTGTCGTCAGGTACCAGCGCCTCGTGCTCTCCCCGATGCATATCGCTGGTGTAGTCCGCGTATGCACGGGCTGTGCGCGCCCACTGGGCTTGCTCTGCGCGATACACGGGATCGGCAGGCAACTCCTGGGAAGCGCGACGAGCAGCAGCGTTGGCACCGTTCCAGCTGAAGCGGAGACGCCTGCAGGCGTCGAGCACGCAGCGGGACGCACTCTGAGCATCCTCTGCCCTGCTCGTCCTGCACGGGACGTCCCATAGCTTCTCAATCCGCTCCATGCCGCTACCCCCGCACGCGGCAACTTGCGCAGACACTTCATCGCTGAGAACATCGGTCGCTTGGAGCCGCTTGCTCACCGCAGCGGCATTCCATTTGTCACGATGCTTTCTCTCAGCCATGCTGACAAAACGCACGTGTTGCTGGAACCAGACACGCTCTGTGCGGTTGAATTGGAACTCGCGCTGGGCTCTGTCCAACACAACACGTTTGATCACGCACTTCATGCAATCCCTTGGGACCCGAACAACCGTGCCCCCTACTGGGGGGAGAGAGCGCTCACGAAGGGCGGCGTTCACCCGTCGGGTTGCAAGGAGCCTCCGACCGGGGTCCTGCAGCCGGCCCACGTGCGGGGCTGCCGATGCAGGACCGCAAGCGCTCTGCCATTTGCGTTCCAAGAGGGCCCAGTCGACAGAGCCCGCCTGTGTCCCGCACCACGTAGAGAACAAGGCGGCCCAAGCAGGATTATAGATGTCGATTGGGCCGTGAGTACCATGAACGGCCACTCTGCGCCGCAAAGTGGCGCAGTACTGCTCTTGGAAACTCCCGCGCTCACCAACACCCTGGGGCAGTGCACGAGACCTGTCACCTCCCTCGGGGCTGTGGGCACGGGAACCATGAGCAATAGCGAGCCGTGCTGGTGCCGAATCGAACGGACCACGACAACATGACTGATTGCCGCGCCTAGCTCGGCACCACTTCGGCGGTCGACCTCGCTTCCGCGACCCTGCCCCCTCTGGCCCTGCTACGCGGTCACTGCCGTCGTGGGCGCCCACGTTAGCGGGGGGCCTGCGGGAAGCGATTTCGAGGGTTTCCATGGCGCGCACTCGGGCAGACGGGCCCGCTCTCGCAACGAAGAAAAACGTCTCCTCCAGCCGCAAGCGCCGCATGATGCGATACCGGAGTTTATCACTGTCTTGCATGTGCCGTCGTGCGAATAGGACGGCGTGTTCTAGCCATCTGCACGCAATGCCTCCCGCGTTGCGCTGCCGCGGGCGGTGCACGTGAACAATGCCAACGTAATATGACGAGTGCGACATCCAACTATACAGCGCTGTGCAATCTGTCTGTGTGGCTCCATACGTCTCGTGCGCATTGGGCGCACCAGACACTGCGAGCCACTGGAGGTGCACCAAACTGGAAACGGCCCGGGCACGTTCGGACTCAGGCCATTGGGGCGGCCGGTCTTCTCGCCACAACGCCCACCGGCACCGCTCATCTAGCAGCAGGGCTGCTTGGCGTGACCACCGGTGGTTGCGTCGGCCGGCGAGCCATAAGAGAGCACGGCAAGAAGTAAGCAACGCCCACAACGGTTCGACAATGCTACTAGACCGTCTCCACTTCATGTGCGCGGGCAACAACCATTCAGAGCACATGTGGAAGCAACATGAGAACGCCAACCATGTTTTCTCGCCCTGTCGTCGTCGCAACAAGGTGTCGTACGTATCTGTCAACAGTGCCTTCATGAACAAACCCGCACAACGTGAAGCGTTGTCTTGGGGCATTCGGCACAACATGCTACACTGGGGCACGCCGCACGCATCACACACTCGAAGACAATACCGAACAATATCATCCGCACCGCAGCTCTCCCGCCATGGGGCTCGACCGAACAGTGTTGCCAACAGTGCTTCCTCCCGCCGGGAACTGGAACCCCCGCGAGCGCACATGTCCCCCGTCGCAACAGAACACCAGTTAGACTGTAAATGCTATCGCCGGAAATGGGACACGAAGATTAACGAGAATATCAGATATGGATGTGTGGGGCAAGATGCACAATAAGCACAATGAGAAGAAGAATGAAGGACGATCTTTCTCTCACGTGCAGACTGCGCTCCACACGCTCTCGTTCCGGAGGGACGGGCCAGGGTTGCAAGGTAAGCGCCCGCTTTGCTATGGCCATTCCCCAGACCGCCGACGGCGGCCCCTCCGGCAGCTCGGGACGCAGCGGGGGAAGAGAATCTGTCAGATCAGACGGCACGGGAACGAATCTGCTGAACACCCTCGTGCCGACTTCAAGCGAGACGCTGCTTCTTTTTCCCCCTTCCCCCGGCAGATCTCGCCGGGGAGGGACAGGAGGGACGACGGAGCGTGGGGAGGCAGGAGGAGGCCCCGATAATAATGGTACATCTCGCCGTCGGCTTCGGTGGACTCCCCGGGGTGCGCCACTTCCCAGCGAGTCCAATTCAGCCGTCACTTCAATGATAAGCCCTGGAGGTCCTGTGAAAGGAGAGGGACGGGGAGAGGAGGTGCAAAAATGTGGCACCAAATCTATCGGAACAATTGCAACAAGACCGTCGTCCGACCGTCGTCGAACGACGACGACGGCAACAACGACGACGACGACGACGACGACGGCGACGACGGCGACGACGACGCAGTGCCACTTTCGGGCGAAATCGGCACGGCGCTCATGGCAAGAACAGCGGGCGATGCCAGGCTCCATCGACGTCCATCGCGCCGGTTGGCGTCGCCAGGCCCTCTGGGAAGACGTCTTAAACCGCCATGTGGGTCTGGACAGGCGCCGGCGAGCTAAGCAAGACGATTGGGGCAAGTCGGCCGACGATTTCATCGCGAGTGTTATGGACGATGCCGGGCTCAATGGAACAAAGTATATGCAACGTTGACGTGTTCAACGGGCGCGAGTCGACCATGAGCGAGCAGCGCAGCGACGGGCCCGACCGTTCACCCCACACGTCGTGCAGTGGCGACCGGAGCCGAGCATCAAGCCGGCAGGGACGAGCATTCAGCCATTCCGATTTACGATCGGCATCCGGGGTGACAACCAGACCGTCGTCGAGTGGATCCACGAGAGGTGGGGCTGCTTCAATCCCAGGCACGGGCCGCCGCTCTGGCGGGCGATGCGCGTCCTGCGGGAGATGTGGGCCTCAGGAGTTGCCACCACGGCGGAGGCAGGTGGCGACTGGGTCCGCCACGAGCGTCGTGAAGGCAATGTTGTTGCAGACGAACTGGCGGGGAGAGCTGCCAGACTGCGCCGCACAGAGTACCACTCGAACGGTTTCGCTGTCCGTCGCTTTCAGGCGCGAGGACGTCCTATTTACCTACGCTGTTCTTTCGACGGGAGCTTGAAGGGCCCAGCATGCCGGAGCAGGGTGCTCAATCTACATTTGGCTGCAGGATGGCGTGTGGCACCACTGGCAGACAGCATCGATCTATCTGGGCCACGTCACGTCGACGACGGCGGAGCTGGTCGCCGCGGCTACCCTGATCGACTTTCTCGGCAAGATTGCGTCATGTCGCACGTTCGCCGCCATCGCCAACATCAAGTGGGAGGGCCAAAATACCGACCGCCAGCAGCGCGGCGGCGCACGTAGGCGCCAGGCGAACTCAGCGATTTGACGCCATTCACCTCCGGATGATACGGGAGCCGTAATCCAAAAAATGGTCGTCGTCGCTGTCGTCATGGTCGTCGTCGCTGTCGTCGTGGACACGGCTCGGGCGAGGGCGACGCTTCGCCCGCTCGCGAGCTGCCCCGCTTCCCAGCGACTGGGCGAGCGAAGAGTGCGCACAGTGTGCACAGCACCCCGGCGCGTGCGCCACTGTCAGGTAAAATCTGCGCGGCGCTTCGGGGCTGGAGCGATACCTCGCTCCCTCGCGCGCGACACCGCCACCGACGAATCGGCGAGCGAAACATGCGCGCCGCGCCCGAGCGGGCACTCAACTCTCAGGGAAAATTTGCGTGGCGCCAGGGCGAGGACGGTATGTCGCACGCTCGTGCGCGATGTGCGCCGCGCCCCACTTTTGCCACGCATCCGGCAGCGTCGACGACAAAGCGTCCACTTTGAAAGGTCCAACGCCGACGTTGCACTGGTCTTGGACGGGTACGATCACGAACGTTTCTTTAGCGCGCCGCGCCGCTGTTTCTGGCCCACCACGCTTCGACACAGGTGGATGTCGTAGCATGCCATAGCATTACATGGCACAGCATGGTGTTGAAGATCAACGCGTAGCATGACATAGCATGGCATGGCGACGCCCCAAAGTGGGGGGGGCTTCTGCGGCGCAGAATATCAACGAATCGTCACTGAATGTGGAATCACCTCCGATGGTTCGTTTGGGAGAGCATTTCCTAGAGTTTGGAGCCTATTTGGAAGGACCGAAACCATGCCGTGGCATGGCAGTGGAAGTAACGACGCCAGCGCTGCAGCGGAAACACGGTCTCGGAACGAGCGGAAGCGCGGAAATGAGGCCAGCGCGGCAGCGGGAGCACGATTCGGAGGACGCGGAGCCTGACATAGTATGGCGTGGCGACGTCCCAAAGGGGGGGGGGCTCTGCGACCCAAAACATCATCGAATCGACACCGAATGTGTATTCACTTCCGATGGTTCGTGCGGGAGAGGATTTCCTAGATGTTGGAACCTATTTGGAAGGATCGAAACCATGCCGCGGCATGGCACTAGAAGTAATGACGCCAGCGCTGCAGCGGGAGCACGATTCAGAACGAGCGGAAGCGCGGAAATGAGGCCAGCGCTGCAGCGGGAGCACGATTCGGAGGACGCGGAGCCTGACATAGTATGGCGTGGCGACGTCCCAAAGTGGGGGGGGCCCTCTGCGACCCAAAACATCAACGAATCGGCACCGAATGTGTAATCACTTCCAATGGTTTTTCTGGGCTGGCATTTTCTAGATTTGGGAGTCTATTTGGAAGGACCGAAAACCATGCCGTGGCATGGCGCTGGAAATAATGACGCCAGCGCTGCAGCGGAAACACGGTCTCGGAACGAGCGGAAGCGCGGAAATGAGGCCAGCGCTGCAGCGGGAGCACGATTCGGAACGAGCGGTGGCCCGAAATTGAAGCCAGCGCCTCAGCTAGAGCAGCATTTTGAACAAAAACGCTAAGCGAAAACCCGTTACCCGGGAATCTTGTGTATAAAAAACGAGTACGCGGAGGTAGTGCGTAATTGTAGAAGCGGCAGGCCGGAGCGAGGGGGTGGACGGAGAGAGTGAAGGGGGGGGAGGAGGACGATGAAAGGGGCACGGCAGCAGAGGAGGACGCAGACGACGACGGCGGAGGGGGTATGAGAGGAGCGCGGTTGCCAGGGGGGGGGGGGCGGAGCTCGGCCGTCGCGCGCCTGGCCGCGCAGGCGAGGACGTGGGCTG